CCCGTTAGCTCACCCACCTCCCAGCCCAGCATGGGTGCAAGCTGGTTTCTCGTCCAACCATCTGCTCATGAAACCACTTCCACTTCTCCAGGCTCACGGTCAAGTTTCCCATGTGGGAAGCACGGCCTTGGCGCCCGACGGCTTGCCTTGCCGCACGTGTATCATGGGCATTTAGCGCTCACAAAAGGTGCTCGGGGACAGGAGAGAGCGATGGGAGCTGGGGACAAGAGGGATCTCACCCAGTTTCCTTCTGGTATGTGTGCTGGTTTTGGCTGGGATAGAGTTAATTTTCTCCGTAGTAGCTAGTGTGGGGCCGTGTTTCGGATCTGTGCTGGAAACAGTGTTGATAACACAGGGATGTTTTCGTTACTGCTGAGCAGTGCTGACACAGAGTCAAGGCCTTTTCTGCTGCTCACCCCACCCCGGTAGCGAGGAGGTGGGGGGCACAAGGAGCTGGGAGGGGACGCGGCTGGGACAGCTGACCCCAGCTGACCACAGGGATATCCCATACCATATGACATCACGCTCAGCATGTAAAGGTGGGGGAAGAAGAAGGAAGGGGGGGACGCTTGGAGTGATGGCGTTTGTCTTCCCCAGTCACCGTTACGCGTGATGGAGCCCTGCTTTCCTGGGGGTGGCTGAGCACCTGCCTGCCGATGGGAAGGAGGGAATGAATTCCTTGCTTTGCTTTGCTTGCGTGTGTGGCTTTTGCTTTACCTATTACACTGTCTTTATCTCAACCCGTGAGTTTTCTCACTTTTACCCTTCCGATTCTCTCCCCCATCCCACCGGGGGAGGAGTGAGAGAGCGGCTGGGTGGGGCTTAGTTGCTGGCTGGGGTTGAACCGTGATGCTATGTTAACAGCAAAGGGAGAAAAGTAATAGATTCGTCAAAAAATAGAGATCCACCACGGGGTAGATACAGCCTGAGCTTGATTTTAGGAAGGCCTACATGGCATTGACCCCTATTCTTAAAGGCTCATGGCTCCAAATGAGTTCGTCACAGCCTGCCGCGTAGCTCGGCACCGTCTCTGCATCCCACCACACTCTTCCTCCCTGGCATCAAGGGTCAGCCACGGGCACGAGCCAGGAGGCTGCAGGCCCTCGACTCTGCGGCATCAAAGGCAGATACTGTTTCCCGCCTAAAAAAACATGCACAAAGGGGAAAAGAGGCAGAAAAATAATCCGTGTCCCTTCGGAGCTGCCAAAATACCTTGCTGAGAACGCAGATCTTTCTTTAATGGCCCTCCCTTTGCTCTTAAACACCTGTAAAGCAAAACACAGGAAAAAAGCCCAAAAGATGGTGAAACTGAAACCACACACTCAGCGTCACCCTGAAGGAGGTGTTTCAGGCTAAACCACTGACCCGAGAAGGTCTTCCTTTGCCCAGTTATGCCTTGGCAGTAGCCACGGCCAGCGAGAGGCGGTACGCTCTGACGCACGGGTATAAAATTGCCTCCAATTGTGGCGGGGAGGGAGGAGGCCACAAACGCCTTCAGTCATGGGGAAAACGAGAGTGGAGAGCGCTGATTCATGGGGCACCGGGCGCTGAACTGCCTCTTGGGGGGACACACGGGGAAGGGGTTTCCATCCCTTGCTCTCTTGTGCTGGGTCGGACCTGAAATGCGCCTCGGTGGGAAACAAAGGTCTCTTTGCAGAGGATCCAAGAAGGTGAAGTCAAAGCCTTTATTCCTCCATGCTTGCAATAAATCCCTCCAAAATTAACCATCACTCGGTTTGACTGCCCCTGCAGCTACAGGACAGTAGTATGGGAGCAGTTTGATGTATCTATGGTGACTTTGTGGTTGCCTTCAGGCTGTTGCATGGAGGCATCAAGGCATCAAGGTATCAAGGCATGCCGGCCTGACCCCATCGCGCCAGGCAGGGAGATCGAGCCCCAGAGCAGGAGCTGGCTGGTGGCAGAAGGAGGCTTGGTAGGTCTGGGTTATAATTTAAGAGCAGGCTTAAGCATAAACTCATCTTGTTTCCAGCCTGATTTTGGACAGCCCAGCAAGGCCACGTCCCACCATCCCCATCAGAGCAGCCTGACTCCTCCTGCTTCTCCCCATGCTTGCAGAGACCAAGACTGGTGGAGGTGGGCAGGTCGGCCCCACGGCCAGTCCTGGGGGGACCTAATGGGAAAACGCAGCAAAGGCTGGATGGGCCCTGGATGAGTTTATCTAAGGGTTGGTGGACATGGAGTAGAGTCCAGGAGTTTTCCCTTATCAACTTCTTTGGTCCATGCTCCATCAGCGCAGGATGCTTGCGTGTCCTCAAAGGTGCATCTCCAAAGATGCACGCAGAGCAAGGATTTGAACCAAAACCAACCCAGCTGGGCTGTGGCATCACCGTGCTGCCACCGACGGCAACCCCCAGCCTGGGGTCTTCCATCCCCGAAGAAGAGGAACATCGCGTCCCTTCGTTCCTTTCAGGGACCTTTGGGAGTCGCCGAGCACTGAGGAGGAGGCTGCGAGGCAGCTGAAGGAAGGGCAGGCAGAGGAAGGACGGGCAGAGGAAGGCTGCCACCTGCTGTCCATAAAAACCTCTCCAAGTCATAAAATGGAAGAAAATCCAGATCTGCATGTGCATCTTAAACCACAGGTTCATGGCCCTATGGTGCCAGGGTGGGAGAGCCACCAGCAACTCAACCCAGGTGGAAAGGGGAAGACCACAGAGGACATTTGGAAAGGGGAGACCGCCACGTCCCAACGAACTGGTGAAAATCACCCGTGGACAGTGGAGAAAGTGTCCTGTAGGACATTTCTCCAACCCACTCTGACACTGGGAGCCTTGATTAAGAAAACCAAGAAGGAACACGACAAGCACTGCGCTGGCTGAGCTGAGTTTCTCTTCTCCTGAGCCCCCCACCGCTGCAGATAGCTCGTGTGTCTTCCTGGGCCAGGGGGACATCGCAAACAGTGTCATCGTGAGCTAATTTGGTGGCATTAATAAATATGCCACCCAAGTGATGGGTAGGAGATCTGGACCTCTCCTCTGAAGGTTGAGCTAATTAATCTCCTACCTTCCTCCTCCTCTGTCAGGCTTTCTCGTAAGGCCATTGTTGGCCCTAATTAAAAGGCTCTTCAAGATGAGTGTCCCCTGAACACCAGCCATATTTTGACACTGACAATAATTACCGAAATCTCTTTGGTAGAATAACAATAATTACCCAACCGCAAGAAGAAAGGTTCCAGGAGGAAAGGACAGTAAGTGGCGGAGAAATCGGGACTTGGAGCCCTCGTCTCTTCGGGTGGCTGGTGTTGGGCGAGGGAGAAACATGGCCCAGCTTCCTAAGCCTTGCTTTTCTCTGTCCATTGGCCATGCCTCTGTGAAAAGGGCACATTTAGTCCCCCGAGCACTGAACCGTAGACATTCCTTAGCCAAGAGTTCCCCAAATATCTCAGAACTGCCCCCGAAACGCAGCCTGCCATCAATCCTCCAAATGAGCAGCCCTCAAAAGCTCACCTGAGCTCCCAGCACCTTCAGGGAGCTGGGGGCTTTGCTCTGTGTCCACTCGGAGCTCCTCCAGGGCCAGATCTGGTTCTTTAGGGCCACCCTTGGTTTTGCTCTTCTCAAGCCTTTTTTCCTTCGCTGGACTCAAGGATTTAAAAAAACTGAGCCCAGTTCCCAGGGGACATCCCTGCGAAACTATTGTCCTTGGCCCGATGAGTTCCAGATGTTCCCCCGGCTCCTGGGCTGAGCCTGGATATCCCATGGGGAAAAAGCGCTGACCCAGATCTGCGGCCGCCCACGGGGCCTCCCGTCATCCCCAAATCGAAGGAATGATGGCGAACGGCCCCAATTTCACATCTGGCCTTGGGCAACAAAACCAGGCTTGGCTCAAAAGCGGTGTCGGTCCAGCTGACGAGCCGTAATCCCAGTTTTACCCTGCAGGAAGCAGCAGCAAGTGCTTGGGTACCCAAATGCTGCTTTTACTTTTTTGTTTTTTTCTTACTGTTTTTTAACTCAAATCAAAGGTGTTTGAAAGGGCAGCCCTGTGGGCAGAGGAATGATTTCGCCATGCAAGATGTGCTGTGACAATAAGGGGACATCTCACCTGAAAGGAGGAAGCCGATGGGTCACTCCTTTGGTCCAAGAAGTGGAAAAAAATAGAAAAAGATAAGAGAAACAGCAACAACAATGACAAAAAAAAAAAAAACAAACCCTCGCTGAAGGCGTAAGTTAAAAATTATGGCAACAACTATATTTTTTGCAACAGCCCCACTTAAAAAAATCCTGTAATGATTCATAATGACCCATCCAACTAAAAGCAGGAGTACCGATGACCTACCCGTCAGCTTTTAGCATCCTGCTAACAAGCTTAAAAGCACTGGTACGGGGAAGAGTTAGCCACAAGCAGCTTGAAGGAGGAAAATAGGATCTTGCTTTCAGGGGACAGGTTGTCTTTGCAGAAGGTAAGTGCCTTTTCTTCCCTTCTTTACTACCAATCTCTGCAGAAATTAAGCTAGAGTAAAGAAAGTGCTTGGTGATGGGCAACCAAAAGTCTGATTTTCAGCAAATAAATGGTGCAGGTTGGCATTTTATTCTCCCTGAACTGCTAAGGCGTCCAGCAAAGACAAGAAATGTAAAACTCTAATTAATCAACTCTTCTGAAAGCTGCTTTTCTGAGCAGCTAATGGTCGGGAAAGTTCTCCAGCACGCTGGTGATAAGCTCCAGATAGAAATATTGCTTCTAGATAGAAAAGGGGAGGTTCGTGATAAAGTTTATTGCAATGAATTATATCTTTAGATTATACAAACCCGTTCTTGTGGCTGCGTGCCTGCACCTAAGTGGCGGTAGACGTGCCGACAGGTAATTGTGAGGCTGCAATTTTCACGTGCCCTCACCAAAATGCTGCCAAGATGCCTGGGCAGGAGGTCGTCTCGGGCTGGGTCTGTCCCGCGCCACGCTGCCAGGGCTCCCGCGGGGGCTGAGGGGGTCGGTGGCGATTGCCACCCTGGCCGTTTCTAGCTCGACTTCTGCCTTCTCCAGAAAGACAAATGCAGATCGTCCGGTGGCTGTACCTCTCCGGGCTGGTGTTCGCCATGCTGATCCCGGCAGGGTGGCAGATGAGCCCCGAGGGCTTGGATGACGCCTCCAGGTACGGGGTGTTGGGGGAGATGGCCAGCGCGGGCAGGGGCTGTCGGAGCAGCTCAGCCCTCGCCGTTACCGTTGCTGCCAGCTCTCCCGGCTCTGGGGCTATTGCAATGTGCCTGTTTCTTTTGTATTTACCCGGACAAGCTCCCTCTTGGCTCCCTACCAGCCCACCCGCGGCCGTTGCCGTGTACCCCCCCAGGATTTCTCGGCTGTGTCAGACCAGAGACGGGGACGCTGCCTGGGGACGCGGCGGGGCAGAGCCAGGACGGGGCGATGCTTTGGGCAGGGTGCTGAGCCCCGCTCTGCACCGGCGGCCCTGTGGGAGGAAAACCCTTTGGGGACCTTCTGCGGGGGTGAATTTGTGAGAGGGGGGACCCCAACACCAGGTCTCCATCCTGGGGCTGGAGGAGGCTGATTTAAGCCCCGGGGCGGCACCACGCTCCCTCCCAGGAGCAGCAAGCAGGGACCAGGGTGGAGGCACGAACCCGCCGCGGCCAAGCAAGATGTAAGGCAAACAATACGGGCTAGGCTATCGCGTGTATTTGATGTCAGGAACAACCCTGGCCAGGCTTGGTAGAGCCCCCCAAAACTGGAAATTATTTTTATGTATTATTATCACTTTTCTGGAGGATGCTCCACGCAGTAGAGGACACAGCCCCTGCCCCGGGGACCTGGTGCAGGGAGGGTGCAGGATCCCTGTGCCACGGTGTGCATTAAACCACCTTTTCTTCCCCCATCCTTCCCTCCCGGGCAGATGGCAGCCGTCTGAATCGCAAAGCGCCCGAAGCTTCGCGTCCAACCTCAAGCGACACTCGGAAGGCACCTTCACCAGCGACTTCACCCGCTACCTGGACAAGATGAAGGCCAAGGACTTTGTGCACTGGCTCATCAACACCAAGCGGTACAGGTAAAAGGGGAGAGGGGACCGGGACCATGCTGGGAAGCCACGTCCCCCCCGCGCCGCGAGCCCCCGACCCCAAGCCCTAACGCAGCTTTAGTTTTCTCCCGGGTGTTTTCTTATTTTCGGCAGCTCCACGAAGAGGTACCTGAAGGAGGAGCCCCGCGGCATCCCCTTCCCGGCCGCGTTCCCACCGCTCGCGTAAGTCAGCCCAACCGCGGCCAATTAAAACCGAATAAATGAGCAATTTTAAAACATAGCCACCAATCGGTGGTTTCGGTGCAAAGGCAGAGCGCGGCTCCCTGCGCCTGACGCTGCTTCTCCTCTTTGCTGGCTCACGTGGATTCTCCGGTGTTTATTTGCAATAGAATAAGACAAGGAAAATGAAGGTATTTGGGGGAGGCATTTAATAGTTTAGGATGGGATGAGGCTGTTTTGTTCTCCCCTTGCCGTGTTCTGACGTTTCAGGCTTCCTCTCAGCGTCAACGTGGTGCGGTCGTTTGCGTTTACAGGGGATGTTCTCGTGCTTCGGTCGCGGGGAAGCAAAGCGGTTGGTCCTTCGCAAACGAGAGAATCACCGCCGCCGCTTCAAAGCTCCTGAAGTGATTTTAGGGGAGTTTCTATCCATGAAGCCGTTTGGGTCTTTGGTTTTTATTTTTCAGGTACAATTAAATGGCAAATCAAGGCCTCGGCTTTCCAGCACCATCAGCCTGGGGGTGTGGGACCTCTCCCCTGCCGGCAGCCATGGGATGCTCCCCGGGAAAGATTTATCCATCACGCGCAGCCACGTTCACCCCTTCGGTGTTTCCCAGGCACCCCCGGACGTTTGCTCCCGCCTTCCCTCCGCACCTCGGTTGCTCCGGCTTCGTTTTCTCTGTAACCGCTCCGGCGGCGCTGCAGATCCCGCAGCGTTCCCTACATCGTAATAAACCCTTTGCTAAATCCGGCAGCTGGTTCCTGACGGCTCCAACCCTTCCGGCGGGATCCCACGCGCCGCTGGTCCCGGGGGATTCCGAGGCACCGGGCTCTGACCCCCGGCTCGGCCCGGGGGCCCGGTTTTTCTCTGAATTCCTGGAGGTTTAGGTAAAAGGGCAAGGAGGATGCGCCTGCCTGACCCCACAGGCCTGGCCCAGGGGGTTGGAAGACGTTTTTAATTTTTAAAAAATAAAAATTTTTAAAAAATTAAAATTTTATAAAT